GAGGTGCGAGGGGCAAGGGAGGAGGCAGCTAGCTGAGGCAGGCAGGCAGGCTTTCCCCCGTGACAGTGGCTCTTTTCTCCGGCAGCCCGAAGATCAAAAGCGCATCCCCGCAATCTGAAGATTTAAGGCTGTCAACCTACTCGGACGAAAAGGTCGCTTAGAGTAACACCGCCGCAATCCCTCAAGTTGGCTTTTTGTAGAGACTTATCTCTGAATATCCTATTACTGAAATAGGATTACCTTCCTCCAGCCCATACATTCACATCACCATCCCTCAATTGGGGAGAGCGCATTTCCGTTGTCTCTCCAAGAAAGTTAGTTTCTAAGTTTTGAAAGGAAGCCCCGCCGACTGCCTGAAAGATCCTTACGTCTTTCTCCCTTTGCTCCTGGGACTAGGGGAATTCAGGTACTTCTTAAGTAGCCCCACATACTTCTGGAAATACTCCCCAGTAATCCTCCATTTCCTCTCCTCAATTCAGAAGCTAAAAAGCCTGGAGACTGGCTGCACAACAGCGTGACAGCCCTAATTTAGTGCGTGTTTCATATTCCGGAGTAGGTGAGGAAACGATTCTAAGCGGCTTTGGAGAGCCTGGCGGGGGGAGGGGAAGAGGGGAGACCCAGCGGATGTAGTCCTCGGTTTGCCCCCCCCCCCGCAGCCCTAGGATCAGGTTGCATGTGAGTAAGGCACAATGTCCCTTGCAGATTTGTGCTTTAACCCGAGAATGTCCATAGAAAAGGAAGGCTCTGCTCCCCACTCCCCACGTCTGGCCCCAGCAACAGGTGCAGCAGATGGAGAGGCGACTGGTTCTAGCTCCGAGCAAAGAGAAGGAATCTGTGTGTGCCTCTTTGAAACAGATTGCGTATCTTCTGGCTCACCATGCTAAACCAGAGCCAAGCGGCATAGGGCTTCTGACAGTTCTCTCCCTTCTCTCTCCGTTCAAGGGATCTCACGGGCTTCACTAGAAGGTTTCCTTTGTTAGATGATCAGGGTCTGAACTTAAGACTTTCAGGCCGTATCAAGGTTCAATTCAGTGAGATGGGCTTTTCCAGAGTCATAGGTTTCAAGGTATGCATTTGACCTTAGAACACACTTTGGGATCTCATCAGCATAGCTCTGGGTCTGGAATAAGTGCTTTAGTCTCAATCTGGAGTCAGGATTAATCTCAGTCTGGGTTTGAATTCAACTGATGTGAGACCAGCTGTGGGGTCTTAAACTACAGACCAGGGCCCAATCTCAGTCTGAATCTGCAAGCCATAGTAACCATAATATAATTGGTCTGCTTGCAATCCACATAGGTATTCTGGATTAATACAGAGACACTTTTTGGTAGCTCCAAATGGCTGACTCAGGCTGGAGTAAATCAGCAGGGACAGGTTACAGGGAATGGTTTGAAGGTCTTCATTTGTCTGGCCACTCCAAGTCAAAGGAGTCTTACCATCTGGATGATATTCAAGGGACAATAGTGTTGGTCTGTTTCAGGATTCAGTTAAAAAAACATGGAGATTTGTAGCACTTTTCAGACTAACAGATTTATTTCAGAGTCAGCTTTCCTGAGGTGCAAAGTGTTGTAATTTTTAATTTAGGTTACTAATTGTTTGTGGGAGAGCCCTGTTAGAAGATCCCTTTGTTTGGCAGAGTAGAGCTGTAACAGCATCCCCTGTAGGCATTTGAACCCACTTTGTTTCTCTTTTCCTGGGAGCAATAAACCAGGCATACTGTAGTCCGAGCTTAAAATAAAGTAGATACTAAGATTAATTTAGAAGATACAAATAAAAAGAAAGCCTGTCTGAAACTTTTGCTAGGAACCCTATGGTGAAGGAACATCTCAAAGAGATGTTCACAGATTGGAAGTAAGAAGAAGACAAGAACTGTAACTCTTTCTTTGCAGCAATAGGAAGGTTAAGAAACAACAGATACAGGCTACTCCACTTCCAAACACCCCATAAAGCATTTGTAACATAGAGGTGTGTGGGGGAGGAAGGAATGCTTTCAAAAAAGTCTTCCAACACAATCCACCACTTCAGATACACTTCACACATTGGTGAATACAGTTTCTCCAGCATGTAAATGGTTGTAGGGAGTTATACTGGGGATGAGGAGATATTTACTTTTTTTAAAAAAGGCATCTTCTTGGTTGAGGTGTAAAAATGTAAAGGTGAGGTTCCTGATTTCCTGTTGGCTTGTCCAGCTACCTGGTTTGGTGAAGGAAAGAGTTTTCTCCAAAAGCTGATCCACAAAAAGCTACTCAGGAAGTGTGTAAGAAATAAAACAGGTGAAATCAGAATGTAACATTTGAAATTGGGGTGCAGCTCTGGAGTATTTAGTGAATAAAGGAAAGTAAGCAAGGCTTGAAGTATGCACACTGCCTAACTTCTTTCAGACAGTTTTATTACTTTCAACAGGAGCTGAGTTTCCAGCCCAGAGGTGTTGCCTTGTGAACAGTGTTAAGCCCTTGGTTAAAATGATACATTATTAGACCAATAGTAGAGTAGATAGGCTTTGCTGTGTCCTAGAGATCTTCATCTGGCACAAATGTGGCAAGACAGGGGACACCTGTTCTTCCAGTTACACCCTGAATTTGAAATAAGATCACTTTTAACTACTTGGGCAGAGAGTTATTCTTTTTCTTCTCCATAATACTGGAAATGGAAGCCATTCACATTAAAGTTATGTATAGTAGGGGCAGAATCAGTCTTCTCATGGTGTAAAATGAAATCTATGGATTTTGTTGCTAGGAGAGATGGTTAGAGTTGGTATTTCAGGTAGCCTGGGATTCAGACAAATCCATGTAAAGCCAATCTATCATTGGCCAGTAGTAATGATGGCTTATATAGAAGCCTCCAAGTTTGGCTTGTGGACTAGGCATAACTTTGATCTGGTCCAGCAGGACTCCCCAACAGAGAACCTGTCTCCAGAGTGGGGAATTCATGATGGTCCAGATTCTGCCAAACTGCAGCTCCTGCAGTCCTTCAACATTAGCTATACTGTCTGGGACTGATGTGGACTCAAGTCCAAAGGAATCTGGAATGCCACAGGTTCACCAGCCCTGATGTATTGATGTCCAGCACTCTTTATTTTTCACCCAGGACTTTAGTTCCCCAAAGAATGATGTGCAGGTCCCAAGTTGCCCAAAGAGCTCTGCTTTACTCAAGAAGTGCATTTCCTTGTAGTAGACATGGTAGATCTCAGAAAAATTATTATTATTATTATTATTATTATTATTATTATTATTATTATTATTATTATTATTATTATTATTATTATTATTATTATTATTATTATTATTATTATTATTATTATTTTAAAGCCACT